AAAAATCGGACCTGTGATCATGTTCATGCGGGGCGCCCAACGAAAGACCGATCCATAGAAGGTGCCCATGAAAAATTCGGGCTTGTTGGAGTCGCCCATTCGCCCTCCCGACGTAGGTCGAAGACGCGCTGGCCTGTCCGAAGCGTCGATGCGAATAGCAGCCTTCTGTCGGTGCATGGCTAACATGTTCCTAAAGTGCCGTGAGCCGCGCCGCCAATCCTGCGTCTCCAGTAACTTGGCCGCCTCACCAGCGCCGAACGCATTGCGCATGTCATATGATTTAAGCACAAAGGGTAACTTACATGTTCTGAGTGTCCATTCATGAATTTTTGCAATAGTCATAAGGCCTTCCCTGCGGCGCTTACGAACTCCTCCATAGGCCTAATCAAGAAAGGTACCCTCACAACCATAATCAAGAACGCCGGCTCGTAAATGCAGTCTCCACCACTGGCAGAAGCAGTGGATCATCCTCAAGCACGCGCTGATGTCCTTTATGGGGTCCCCCGTGGGCTCCTTGTTCTTCTTAGGTATCATGATCCCGTGGCTAGTAGATGCCTGTAGTGGCAGGTGTTGGGCGCGACGGACATGTGCCAACAAGTTGGTTAGCACGAGGGGGGCCTCCGAGCTGACGTCGTTGCTGAAATCGCCCAGTATTCTCCTATCGGGGCGCCGTACTCTGGACCTGCTGTAGCCCCATCCGAGGCCAAAGGGGTAATCAACATCTTCATGCCCAAGACCGACCGTCGGAAGCCCAGGTTTACTGAGGTGCCTCGGATTCAACAGCATCATGGTCACCTCGGAGGGCCAGGACCACGGGGGACAGTAGCGTCGGTGTCGTTGTCGAAAGACTCTCGATTGTATGAACCTCAGATCGTCCAGGGCCTGTGTATAATCTATTTCCGAGGGAGGCCCGCAACTAATCCCAATCGGCTGCACCTGCTCCACGGGGGTCGCTAACAACTTTAATACGGCATCGTGATCCCGAATCCACATGCTATCAGGAACTTCGTGAGCAGACAGCCCTCCTTCTACACCCGGCTTAGCAAGAGCACCAAGATAAGCATCATCACAAGGACGAACGGAGGGGAGGGAGAGGTATGAACGTTTGCGTGTGCCAGTGCGTGTGCCCGCGCGCACTCGTGCCAGCTCTCCCACGCGTGCCATCTCCCTCCTTGACCACGCCACCTGGATCTCGGACTCCACACTGTGTCTCCACCGCGCATTTTTCCACCTCTCGAATATGTTGATCTTCTGGGTGATATTCCTAAGCTCTGTTGAGTCGGATGCAAGCCCTTGTTCACGTAATGATGCTCGTTGTCGTAATGATGACATGTTGTGCTTACGATCATCTCGAATCCACTGGGGTGTAGACGCATCTTTAGAATAAAACTTCTCTGCGCTCGTTCGAATAAGGAAGGCCAGCACTGCGCTGTGCCTGCTGGGGTTCTCATCTTCGGGGATCGTGGCGAGAAGGGGGGCCGCCTGGGTAAGAGAGGCGTGAAGGTCGTGCAGAAAATCACGACGGGAGCATTCTACTTCTAGCCCAGCGGCCAGGAGCCCCCAGTCCCATACGCTGTGCCCTCGCTCTCGCGGGGGCGGCGGCGCTGCAGCCACTACCTCCATACCCATCGGGATGTGATCAAGCATGTGGGGCAGATAGTGCAGCCTACGATGTGAGCGCCAGCACATATACATGCGTCGCACGAGTGGAAGGAGCGATTGAGGAGTCATAGAATAATCGTTACGTGCTCGGGACCCGCGTAGACCGTAGAAGCTAAAACCGAGGTCGTAATATGTATTAGGAGCCATACATTCCATATTTAGTAGGCCACGGTGTACACGTTGGCCTAGTTCGGTCTCGGGACCAGGTTGAAACTGTCCAATGCTGTCGTCGATAACCGATTGTCGATTCACACGTCCAAGCTGCTGATTGAGACCTGCGAAGATAACTGGTGCAATCCGTGCGGGTGCAAAAGACGACTCGTGCCGAACCCACTCCCATAGCTTGACAAAGGTGAGTTTCCGGTGTCGTAGTTGTGCTTGGGTTCCAGGGGGGGGGCGAGGGGGGAAGTAGGCGACAATCAGTCGCATACGTAGGCTGCCTTGTACAAGGTCCACGCATCCTCCTCTACCTCGGAGTTCTGCAGGCGGCACTGTCATTCGGACTGCATCCTGAGGTCGAAATCGTGACACGCGAAAGCCGATGCAACACCCAGCAGAGGCGTTGCTCATACTTCCTCTGTCCCATCCAAACTGTATGAACCAATGGTGAGAACCTCGGTCGAAACAATGAGGGGCTCGTTGTTTGGTCCTCAGTTTTGTCCCCGGCATCAGACTAAGATGGAAGGACTCAAATTCCCGACTCACGTCGTCCAGGCGGCCTGCCCCTTGGAGCGGGAACGGGTTCCAACCTACGATCTTAATGTGGTGGCTCATGTACAGCACCACGTACAACACGAACACGCACGTGCGCATGCTCGCGCGTGGGAGGGAGGGACAGGAGGAGGCGCGTGCAAGGGAGAGCCCCTGCCCTCCGCCCACAGCCGCCGCGCCGCGAGCGCGGGCACGGCCGCGATGGTGCGGTCGAAATCGGCCCCCCCGCGGGCCTGGCGGGGCGCGCCGAGACGAGCCGAGGCCGCGAATCTCTCAAGGGCTCGAGAGGAGAGCGGCCTTGCGGAGGAGGAGAAGGAGGAAGAGGAGTAGGAGTAGGAGTAGGAGTCAAGCTAGCCAGCTCGAGCGAGTCAAGCACGGCATGCCCAGTCCCACCCGCCCTCCCACAACATAAGAAGCAAAGCTGGCACAACTGGGGGCCGAAGTCACACCGGCCAGCCGGTTTGGTACAGCTGATGCGGCCGCGATGGCGGTTGCCGACGGGAACTGGCGAGCGCGTGTTGAATGCCGCGCACGCATTGCCAGACGAGTCGAGAATGGCCCGGTACACCGCAGGAAGCCTGAAGGCCCCAACTTGTACTGTTTTTTTATAAAGGGGGGGTTTGGATGGGCGGGCGCGGGGTGTGCGCCGCATCCCATTCCTGCCAAGCATTTTGCGACGTGGACGACAGGACGTCCATGCTGAGAGGAAAAACGTTGGTGCGCGGCGCCGAGGCGAGAGCGACATGTCACCCCTTCGCGCGGGGTGTGCACCGCGTCCCATTCCTGCCACGCATTTTGCGACGTGACGACAGCACGACCATGTTGACAAGAAAAACAAAAACTGTGTATTGTCTTTTGCAGATTAGAATGGGACGGATTGGATGGGCGGGCGCGGGGTGTGCGCCGCGTCCCATTCCTGCTATGCATTTTGCGACGTGGACGACAGGACGTCCATGCGACGGTGCCAATGACGGCGACGACTCTAGAAGAATTTGAGCATGCGCTCGCGGCGACGCGCGCGCATGTCGCCCGCGTGGTATTTGTTGCGCAGGATTCGCGGCCTGGGTGCATGACAGAGCATCGCGAGTGCACCGCGCGATGACGCGAAATCGCTGGATTTGACCGAATTCTTAAGATTCCTATGGTTTTCCTATGATTTCAGCAAGAGAGCCGGGCAGGAAAATTGTAGAATTTTTGTGAAAAAAAAGCATTGGGTTTTTGATGTTTTTATGTTGAAATGCTTGCAAACACACGGTGTTCGGTAGGATTCTGACATGAACGCGCGCGTGTGCTCTTTGTGGTATTTTTTGCAATGGATTATCGCCGTGGACGACAGGACGTCCATGTCGAGAGGAAAAAATAAGAAAACATGTTGATTTTGTATTGTTTTTTTTACAGGTTAGGATGGGACCACCCGGATGCGGCCCCTAATGGCCGGCCTGAGGGGGGAGTAGGAGTATATTCTAATAAGGAATAAGGATAGGAGTAGGAGTAGGAGTAGGAGTCAAGCTAGCCAGCTCGAGCGAGTCAAGCATGGCATGCCCAGTCCCACCCGCCCTCCCACAACATAAGAAGCAAAGCTGGCACAACTGGGGGCCGAAGTCACACCGGCCAGCCGGTTTGGTACAGCTGATGCGGCCGCGATGGCGGTTGCCGACGGGAACTGGCGAGCGCGTGTTGAATGCCGCGCACGCATTGCCAGACGAGTCGAGAATGGCCCGGTACACCGCAGGAAGCCAGAGGTGGCCGTGTCGAGAACGGCCCGGTAAGCCGGGTCCCATTCCTGCCATGCATTTTGCGACGTGGACGACAGGACGTCCATGCGACGGTGCCAATGACGGCGACGACTCTAGAAGGATTTGAGCATGCGCTCGCGGCGACGCGCGCGCATGTCGCCCGCGTGGTATTTTTTGCACAGGATTCGCGGCCTGGGTGCATGACAGAGCATCGCGAGTGCACCGCGCGATGACGTGAAATCGCTGGATTTGACCGAATTCTTAAGATTCCTATGGTTTTCCTATGATTTCAGCAAGAGAGCCCGGGCAGGAAATTTGTAGAATTTTTGTGAAAAAAACATTGGGTTTTTGATGTTTTTATGTTGAAATGCTTGCAAACACACGGTGTTCGGTAGGATTCTGACATGAACGCGCGCGTGTGCTCTTTGTGGTATTTTTTGCAATGGATTATCGCCGTGGACGACAGGACGTCCATGTCGAGAGGAAAAAATAAGAAAAATGTTGATTTTGTATTGTTTTTTACAGGTTAGGATGGGACCACCCGGATGGGCCCCCTATCTGCGGGCCTGAGGGGGGAGTAGGAGTATATTCGAATAAGGAATAAGGATAGGAGTAGGAGTAGGAGGAGAGGAGGAGGAGGAGGAGGAGGAGGAGGAGGAGGAGGAGGAGGAGGGAGGAGGAGGAGGAGGAGGAGGAGGAGGAGGGGAGGAGGAGGAGGAGGAGGAGGAGGAGGAGGAGGAGGAGGAGGGAGGAGGAGGGAGGAGGAGGGAGGGAGGGAGGGAGGGAGGGAGGGAGGGAGGGAGGGAGGGAGTAGGAGGAATGGAGGAAGAAGGAGGATCAGGGCCAGAAGGGGCCCGCGCGGGGCGAGGCGGCCGCGGGGCGGGCGGGGGCGCCTCGTGCTCGAGGGCGAGCATACCCTTGTCGTTCTCGCCCCAAGCGTAGACCGTGCCCTCCGCCGCGCGATGGGGGGGGGATTTGATGCCCCGGCTGGACGGGCTGTGCCTCGGCAAAGCTGGGCCATGCCCCGCTCGGGGCCGCCAACGCCCCAAACAAAAACACTCACGCACGCACGCCCGAGACACCAAACACCACCAACACCGAACCCCAAGCAACAAACCCGAAACCCCAAACAGCAACCCCCAACCCCCAAACACCAAACACCAAACCCCAACACCAAACCCCAAACATCAAGCCCCAAACACCAAACCCCAAACGCCAAACCACAAACCCCAAACAGCAAACATCAACATCAACCCCCACACCCCAGACCCCCCAACCCCACACACCAAACCCCATACACCAGACACCAGCTGCCAAACGCCAAACCCCAAACACCAGGCCCTCGTCGTATTCCTCTTTCCTCCTTCCTCAGTCCTCGTCGTTATCCTTCCTTCTCGTCCTCGTCGTCGCGTTTCAGTGTGCCACATGCCCGAGGATTCTCTCAGGACCCCAGCTCGGCGCATTCCTGTGGATCCCTCTGCGGGATCTTTAGGATTGGATTGGGTTCCTTAGGATTCCTTGGGGATCTGTGGGGTTCCTTCGGATCCGTTAGGGCTCTACACGGTTCCTTTAGGATCAGACCGCGTAAGATTCGCATCGGACTCGCATTCGATTCGCAAAGGGGTCGTATACGATTCACGTAGGAATCGTAAACCGCCCCCACAGGAATCGTATACGATTCGGTTCACACAAGACTCGTGTACGATTCACATGGCAAGCGCATGCGATTCGCACAGGAAGCGTATACGATACACAGAGCAACTGTATATGATTCATTTGTCGACGCTCAAACGGGAGTCGTCTCCGATTCACACAAGGGAATCAAAAGAGTTGTCTGCGATTCAAACGGGAACCGTATACGCGTGTGCGTTTCACATGGAAGTCGTCTCCGATTCACATTGGAATCGTCGACGGTTGAAGCCCGTGTCGTATACGATCCATGTAGAAATACGAAACCTATACGATCCATAGAGAAATAGGAAACATATACGGTTGGCACAGGAATCGTCTACGATTCGCGCAGGCACCGTATACGATCCACAGAGGAACCGCATACGATTCGCACAGGAGTCTCAGACGGGTCACAGCGGCGTGTACGGTTCACTTGGGGATCGTATACGATCCACATCGGATGTGTACATATTCACGGAGGAACCGTACACGATTCACATAGGAGTCGTTTAGGATTCACACAGGGGTCGTACACGGTCCACATCGGAGCTGTATGCGCTTCACATCGGAATCGTTTACGATTCTCAAGGGAACCGTAAGAGATCCACAACCATCGTACACGATACACATGGATCTGTATACGATTCACATTGGACCCGTATACCATTCACTCAAGATTCGTCTACGGCCCAAACGGTTTACACAATAGCCGTGTACGTTTTATACAGGAGCCGGCTACGATCCACATTGGAATCGCATGCGATCCACATCGGGTTCGTACACGGTTCACCTTAGAATGTTTTCGGAGCCGCGTAGTAATCCAGTATGATTCACTTGGGAGTTGTATACGATCCACATTGGAATCGTATACGGTTCACATCGGGCTCGTTGCTGCGATGGGTTGTCCCCCGGCTGCTTTTCCCAGGGGACCATGTGGGCCCCTTGAGAGCACACCACTGACACTCCAGACTCTCCAGAGATGGCTTAGAATCGAACTCAACTGCGGAATGCCTTTCGGCTACACGCAAGAGTGACCCTGGGTAAGAGTGACCTTTGGTGCGCGGCTTTTGGGAGGCCGCGGTGGGACCAAATCCAATCGCGCAAGACGCTACTATCGCATCGCGTTCGGCGATCGTGGGGCCCAAATGGGCCCGCACCGAAGGTCACTCCGGCGAAAGGTCACTATTACGTCCAATCGATTCCGCAGCTTACGTTCCAGAGGGGTGTCCCCTGGTCAACCGGGGTATAGCCCGTCCAACTGGGGTATAGCCCATCCAGCTGCGGTATAGACTGCTGCCGGGGGATGGGGGGCGACCGGGCCCGCGGCGCGCAGCGGGTCGCGAAGCAGGAGGGGAGGAGACGAGGACGAGAGGAGGAGGAGGAGGAGGAGGAGGAGGAGGAGGAGGCCGTAGCCATTTTGGCTCAAGTCCGTAGCGTGGCCCAGGCGTCAGCAGCGGACGGAGACTTTCTGGCATTGGGGAGCGCCCAGAGGCGCACACGGCCCCAGCAGCTTTCCCCTGACATCACCAGTCAGGGCACATTCGGTATCCTACCGCCTTGCTCGTCCTCTTTTGCCGCCACAGTGTGTTGATGGCACCTTGGAAAGATGCGTCGCTTCAGTTTCTCTCCTCGCTCCAGGGGGCCGAGCCCTGGACATGTGGGCACTGTGGGACTGGAGGCAACTTCGCGACCAAGATGCAGTGCCGCCAATGTCTCGCCCCTGCGCCGAGGCACATCCAGGCGGCCATCATGCGTGCGTCCCGCTCCGCTCCGGTGCGGCGACCGTGGCAGGCGACAAGCCCCTCAGCGGGGGGCAAGGCCAAAGGCAAGGGCAAGGAGAAGGGCGACAAGGGCAAGGACAAGGGCGTGGCTGGCCCCGCTCCTCGCGGCACTGCTGGCGCTGCTTGGGGCTACTTCGGGGCTGGCACAGACATGCTCAAGTCGAAGTCAGCCGAGCAGCCCGACCCCATCGCGGTGCTCGACAAGTCGATCGGCATGCTGGAGTCCCTCGCAGACCCCAGCCTCGTGTCCATCATCGAGGCCAAGCGGGCGGAGAGGGCGGCCCTTGTCGCTCAGAAGCGGGCAGGCAAGCCTCTGCACCTGCAGCTGCAGGCGCTGGAGGGCAAGATGGCAGCCGCGCAGCGCAAGCTCGCTCGCCAGCGTGATGAGGTCGTGCCCGAGCTTCAGCAGCGCCTGGCGGTGGCCCAGCGCATGCAGGAGGCGGCCAGCAAGGAGCTGGAGCAGTTGCAGGAGGAGAAGGCTCAGCTGGCCAGGCGGGTGGTCGCCGAGGAGCAGGCCCCAGCTGGGGCAGCGGGCCCTCACGGCGGCGGACCACACTGCGGGCAGGCGGTCATCAGCCAGCTCGTGGCCAACCTGGAGAAGCTGGTGGGAGACACCGAGGGAGACGGAGACGCGGTGCCCAAGCCGCTCGTGGAGTCTCTCCAGAGTCTGCTCAAGCTGGTCAAGGAGCTCCCTCAGGCCGCGGGGGCCCCCGCTGCTGCTGCCGCCGCGCCTCCTGGGGGGCCTGATGCAGCGGCGGCTGACGCGCCCCCAAGGGAGCCTGCTGCCGAGGCCGCGGCCGAAGGCGGCGGCGGATCCGTGGAGGAGCAGAAGCGCAAAAGGGACGAGCTGCTGGACCGCTACCTCAGTGGGCTGCCCGAGGAAGAGCGAGCCGCCAAGCGGGCAGTGCTGGGCTCCTTCTACGACCACCTTGGCGAGGAGGCGCCCCCCCAGACGCCTCTTTGATGGGCCCGCGGGCCCGCCCATGCTCGACTGGACCACCTTCGGGGACGGCCAGTTCTGGACGAGCGGGGGCTTCCACAAGGAGGAGCTGCACGGGGGCGGCCTCACTTGGGGCGGCGGGGGCGCCTACGCTGGCCAGGGCATGGGCCACTGCACCCCTGCGGCCATGGGCAGGCAGCCACCGCCCATCGGACCCACCGCTCCCCAGTCCGTCTGCCTCGAGGGCAGGCCGCAGCATAAGGGGGATGACCCAGCTGGGATGCCCCAGAGTCGCCGACGCGCTCGGCGAGGAGCACGACACGTCATCGCCGCCACCTTCAACGCCAACCTCTCCTGGGCTCGCGTCGAGGAGTTCATGGAAGAGGAAATCGGCCAGCTCATCAAGGAGGGCGGCATCCCCATCCTAGCGGTGCAGGAGCACGCGAAGCCCGCCGAGTGGTTCCACGTCACGGCGGCGGCGCAAGAGCGACGGGGCTGGCGAGTTGTGGGGGGCACCCGCCGTACGTACGGCAGAGGGCGGCAGCTCCGCGGGCGTGGCGTTGGTCACACCGCGATGCCTGAGCCTCAGCCTGGCGCCAGGACAGGATTCGTTGGGCATCTCCCCCGCGGGCGCCGCAGGCAGGCTGCGCCTGGGCATGACCGAGGTCAAGGGCATTGGCTGGGTGGCCTTTTTTCTCGGTGTACCTGTTCACGGGCAAGCCTGTCACCTGGGCCTTGAACGCGGCCTTGCTGGATGCCATCGTGCACTGGGTCTGCCAGATGAGGATCCCCTGGATGGCCATGGGTGACTTCAACAATGAGCCGCACGCCATTCTCAACAGCCCCTGGAACCAGGAGGCCAAGGGCCAAGTCTTGGCCTGGCAAGGGCCAAGGAACGTGCAGATCCAAGGTGGTAAAGCAGGGTGCGGAGGAGTTCAAGGATCGGGTCATTGATTTCTTCTGGATGGACGCGAGGCTGGCCGTGATTTTCTGCCCAGTGAAGTCCTTCGAGAACATGCCCTACAGGCCGCACAGGCCGACTTGGATCCGCGCCGACAAACCCTGGCACGCGTACCAGATCCAGGTCCTCAAGGGCCCGAAGCAGTACCCAATCACGAGGCCACCTCCTGTCAGGCAGCCCGAGATCCCGCAGAGTTACCCCATGCCCGACCTGCTACACGGCTCGCAGCGGCACCTGGACCAGTGCTGGATGGGTTTTTGCTCTGCTGCTGAGGCCGAGCTTCGATCGCTGTTCGGATGGACAGAGTCGGAGGCACGCAGGTATGAGGGCCGAGGCTTGACTCCCGAGGTGGTGCATAGACAGCTTCTTCCGAAGCATGACAGCCCTGTGGCTGATCGAGGCCCAGCCAAGGCCTGGCGTTGGGCCGCGGGGGAACTGGCCTGGATTGGCCAACTCGTCTGCTGCGTCTTGCGGGGACAGTCGGTGCCCAAGGCCAAGTCGGAGGCCCTAGCGGGCCAGGCTTCCACCTCGGGAGGAGGGCCTCCTCGATCCTACAACGAGGAGGTCGCAGGCCAACTCAGGCGAGCCTGGAGGAAGCTGTTCCAGGCGAGGCACCACTGGGGCCAGCTGGGGCTCTGGAGCGTGGGGATACTGTCCACTCTGCGCGCCATCGCTGACGTGGAGCCCCACATCATCGGTGCCCAGGCCATCCTCGCGCTGCAGCAGTTCGCCAAGAAGCGGGCCCAGACCTGGGAGCAGCACCTCATGCGGCAGCGCTCCAAGCGATTCTATGAGCGCCTGAGCGCGAAGTTCCCTGGCTCGGGGGGCTATCTGCATCGCATTTGCCACTGGAAGCAGGCGTGGAAGGAGCCCATCTCGTCGGCCAAGAAGCTGACACTGCCTGCTGACCCGCAGCTCGCGGTCACTCAGGAGGCGCAGGAGTGGGCTAGCATTTGGCGCGCTGGGTCAGGTGACTACACCAAGTTGTGGCAGGACACCCGGGTCCAGCCACAACGGATGGCCCACGCGCAGATGCTGCCTGCCATCGGCGCGGTGCAGGTGCGCACCATATGCCGCAGCTACAAATGGAAGACTGGGCTTGGGCTTGACGGCTGGCATTTTGGACACCTGGCCTGGCTCAGCGACGAGGCCTTGCAGTGCCTCGGGGACGTCCTCATGCTGTGCGAGCGGCTCTGCTCGTGGCCTACGTCCATACGCATGCTCATCCTTTTCCTGGTTGCCAAGGAGGACGGTGGCGGCAGGCCCATCTTCCTGTTTCCCACGCCTGTGCGCATCTGGGAGGCTGTTCGGGACCCCTCGGTTCGCCAGTGGGAGCGGGCCCACGTGAGGCCATGCGACTGGGCATCACCAGGGCGTAGCAGTGAGCATGCGGTCTGGAGAGCGATGTTGGATGACGAGGCCTTGGAAGGTACCTGTTTCGCATCTCTCACCGCCTTGATGGATTTGGAGAAGAACTATGAATATGTGGCGCTCAATTTGATTTGGATTCTCGGCATGGTGCAGCAAGCACCCATGAGCGTGTTGGCCCTTTCCCTGGAGTCGTACGCCTTCCCTCGAGCGGTACGTAAGGGCCAAGCCGTCGCCGACCTCATCTGCACCCATGTTGGCTTGCCCGCTGGATCGAAGTACGCCAATCGCTTCCTGAAGATGGTGCTGTATCCTATCCTGGATGTCGTGGCCCGCTGGCCAGGGACCAAGCTGGAGATCACGAAGTTTGTTGACGACTTGGCGCTGCGAATGGTGGGCAGGAGCGTACAGTTGAGGGCGATCTTTCCCGACCTGGCCCGCGCTCTCATCCACCTTCTGGAGTCGCTGCTTCAGCTCAAGGTCTCGAAGGGTGAGAGAGGCAAGTCTAAGTTCGTTTCCAGCGACGGCGCATTGGCACAGGAGCTGACACAGGCCATGGCGGACATCGGCCTACAGCACGGTGAGAGCGAGCGCTGGCTGGGAGTTGACTACCAACCTCAGGGCCCTCGGAAGAAGGCCACCAGATCCAGACGGGCCCAGACGGCCCGAGGCCGCTGGTGCAAGGCGGCGGCTCTCAAGCGCAGAGGGGTGAGGGTGCGCCCTGTGGTGCAGCAAGGCCTCGGCCGTGCGCGCAGGGGCTGGGGCCTTTCGCTCAGGCACCTTGGGCTGGGCGATTGCGCCGAGGACGGACGGCGCCGAGCAGCTCAGACTTGCCCCTCTGCGGGCATGGATGCGCGAGGCCTGGGACCAGCCCGAGAGACGGAAGGAGATGGCGCACGCTTGGGGCCGCCAGTGGCCCAAGGTGCAGAGGGCTCTCGCCTATGGCCCAGCCAAGTTCGACGCCTGGAGGATGGTGCGTGGACCAGCTGCAGCCACCATTCTGACGGTGCACGAGCTGGGCTGGCACATGGAGGACGCCTGGACCATCCTCGACGGCGCCCACGACAAGTGCGACATTCGCGAAGTCGCCCCCCTCGAGATCCTACGTGCCGCAGAGAGGGCGATCGCGAAGAAGAAGCTCATGGACTGGGCGTTAGCGGGCGAGGTGCGCCAGCCGCTCCGACCCACCCCCTTCCTGCTGCCAGTCAAGCAGCTCATGCGCTCTAAGACCACGGAGACCTGGACGAGGCACCACATTAACAGTGCTAGGACGGTTGCGCTTGGGGGCTACCCCACGCAGACGGCGTGCTACGAGCGCGGCCAGGTCACCAGCCCGATGTGCCCATTGTGCGGCAAGAAGAAGGGCACTTCGATGCACGTGTATTTTCTTTGTGATGCAGACGTTTGCGTCACGATTCGGGATGGCCTCACCGAGCCGACCCTCAAGAACAGTTTTCGGGACGTGGTGCATTTGGGCGAGATGGCGGCCACGAAGGAGGAGCAGGGCTGCAGAGGCGGCGACGCGCTCTTCTGGAAATGGGCCCGCGGCCTGATCGCAGACCCCGTCGCCGAGTACCAGGTGCCCACGCCGCCCGGCGAGTACCAGTGGGGCGATCCCGACGGCGAGATGATGCTGTCGGGCTGGGTGGCCACGGACGGATGCGTCCTGTCCCCCGATGTGGGGGAGATATCCACGGGAGGCTTCGCCGCCACCACCTGGTGCGATGAAAAGAAAAGTGAGATCCAGTCTTTGTTCGGTGCAGTGCCTGTCGCGAGGCCCACGTCGGCCCATTGTGAGATTTGGGCTGTGTACCAGGCTGTGAAGCACTCTGTAGGGCTCGTAGGGCTCCTTTTGGACAGCAAGCAGGTTGCCCAGGGGCTCTTGGCTGGCAGAGATTTTTGTGTGAACAGCGAGCAGATAACCGCGCACCTTTGGAAGCTTGTTTGGGATGCCCTGGAAGATCAGGGCCTTGTCCCAGGTGAGTCCCTTCAAGTTGTCAAGATTAAGTCTCGCATGACCAAGGCCCAAAGGGCCTGTCTGTCGGGTGAGAGTCTCATGCGTTATGATATGAATAGGTGTGCGGATGCCCGTGCTAGAGAAGGAGCTGACCACTATGCCGCCCCGAAGTGGAAGGTGGAACAGGTCCAGCAGTGTCTTAAGTTTCAGAAGAGGCTGCTGCAGTATGCGGCGTCTTTCAGGGTAGATCTTAGTGAAGCCAAAGCTACCACCACGAGCCCCCCGTCGCCTGCTGGTCGGACTCGGAGGGGTGAACGTGTCGCCCGCCCCATGGCAGTCGCGCCCGAGCGGGCCCACCGTTTCAGGCGCCTTGAAGGTGGTAAGTGGCAGTGTTTGCAGTGCTCTCGCCTCGTCCGTGTGGCCGCTCGTCTCAGCTTGGCCAAGCGGGAGTTGTGCCCTGGATGGGGGGGAGCCATTTCAAAAGGTAGGGTCCGTTTGAAAGTCAAGGCCCTTGTCCACGGCGATTGTGTGACGGACCAGATCCGAGCTGCTGCGGCTGAGAGGGCCGCGGAAGCCAGGGGGTCTGGGTCCCAGGTCTCGCCCCCACCCCCACCTCGGGAACACGAAGTGGTCGAAATGGTGGGGTATGCCGTGTGCCGAATTTGTGGGGCTTTCGCCCGTTCCCGAGCCCAGAAGCTGCTGCGGGAATGCGAGGGCCCGTTGACGAAGGGTATTGCCGCCCATCGGTGGCGGAGGCTCTATCGTGACCGTATCCTGGACGGTAAGAACCCGTACACGGGAAAGCCCGTGCGCGAGCAGGATTGATCTGTTTGGCCGTGGTGATGTGTGGCCCAGAGGCCCATCCCCAAGAGCCCCCCCAGTCAAAAGAGGAGGATGAGGAGGAGGAGGAGGAGGAGGAGGAAAAGGAGGAGGAGGAGGAAGAGGAGGAAAGAGGAGGAAATGGAGGAGAGGAGGAGGAGGAGGAGGAGGAGGCGGAGGACGTGGAGGAGAAACACAAAAGCAGGAGCAGGAGCAGGGGCAGGAGCAGGAGGAAGGGGGAGGAGGGAGAGGATGAGGAACGGGGAGAAGAGGAGGACGTGAGAAGGGGAAGCGGGAGGGAAGGAGGAGGAAAGGGGGAGGAAGAGGAGGACGGAGGAGGTGGAGGAGGGAGGAGGAGGAGGAGGAGGAGGAGGAGGAGGAGGAGGAGGACGAAGACGAAGAGGAAGAGGAGGTGGAGGAGGAAGAGGAGGAGGAGGGAGGAGAGGAGGAGTGGAGGAGGATGGAGGAGGAGGAGGAGGAGGAGGGAGGAGGAGGAGGAGGAGGAGAGAGAGGGAGGAGGAGGAGGAGGAGGAGGAGGAGGAGGAGCAAGGAGGAGGAGGAGGCTCGGCTCGGCTCGGAACCCTTGGGCGCGGCAGGACGGAGGTCTCGCGGCTGTCTCGCACCTGGGCGTCGCTTCGCGACAATCGAAAGAGGACTGGTCAATTGTTGTGGCCACCATGGCCTGTCGGGCGCCGCCCGCACGGCCCCAGGGAGCGGCCCGCCGATTGGCGCGCAGCCAGGCGGGTGCCCCCCGCACGGGGACCAGCTCGCGGACCCGTCACTCCCGACCCACCCTCCAACGTCCCGCCCGTCCCATCCGCGAGCCGTTCCCCGTGGGTACTACTGTTGCTGGCACACTCCGCCCTGACCTCCCTCGAGGAAATCAACTCCCTCGCAGGGGGTCGGGATGCACTATCCGGGACACGCCTTGAAACAGCAGCTCCGCGAGCCGAGCTCCGACGGCGTGGAGCGGGTTGAACGCCAGGAGGTGGAGGGTCGACCTCAGCACTGGCGCCATGGCGGCTCGCGCAGGTCCTGTGGGAGGGCGACCTGCATCAACTCTGCCTCGGTGTGAGGTGCCCCCAGTTCCTCCAAACAGGCCAGAACCAGAGGGGCTGCAGGGAGGAGGAGGAGGAGGAGGAGGAGGAGCAGGGAGGAGGAGGAGAGGAGGGAAGGAGGAGGAGGGCGGAGGGGAGGAGGAGGGGAGGGAGGAGGAGGAGGAGGAGGGGGAGGAGGGTCCGCAGCCTGAGCCTGAGGAGGAGGAGGAGGACGACCAGGAGAAGGAGGAAGAAGAGCAGGAGGGAGCCCCGCTGGGAACGGGGGAGGCGGCCGACGGGGGCGGGGGGGAGGGGAGTATGGCTTTGTTGCAACATCACCCAGGAAAAAAGGAGCGCCACACCCTCCAGGCAGGGCACTGGAAGGCAGCAGTCCGAGGCTGCGAGAGCGGCAGTTGTACAATGAGCGTTCGCAGGACCAGAGGGCACAGTGGCGGTGGCGTCAACTGCAACCATCCAGGTCCGTGGCATACCGACTGCACAGGGCTGAAGCGGACCTGCCTGGGCGCGGGTGCGGTGGGAGCGCCAAGGAGGCGAGGAGGAAAAGGAGGAAAAGGATGATGATGATGGTGATGATGATGCTGCTGCTGCTGAAGATGAAGTTGAACATAAAGTTGAAGTTGAAGATGAAGATGAAGATGATGATGATGACGATGATGATGCTGATGATGATGGTGATGATGATGCCGATGATGATGAGGATGTTGATGCTGATGCTGGTGGTGGTGCTGCTGCTGTTGCTGCTGCTGCTGCTGCTGATGATGATGATGATGATGATGATGATGATGATGATGATGCTGATGCTGATGAGGATGATGATGAGGATGAGGATGAGGAGGAGGAGGAGGAGGCGGAGGAGCAGGAGGAACGTCCTTCGGGACTCCGATGCCTACGGCTACAGCTGCAAGAGCAAGATGAGGAGGGAGAAAACAAAAACGGAAGGAAGATGGGGAGGGGGAGGGGGGGAGAAGGGAAGAGACCAAGGGCACTAGTCGCAAAACGGAGCCGCCCTAAGCATCAAGGCGTGAGGGAGGACCAGGGATGCTGGGGATGATGCGGGATGGGGGCGAGTAGGAGGAGCAGGAAGGGAGGACAAGAACGGTACTGATAGTTTATGTTTCCCAATCGGACTGGGTGTCCACCCTCCACCCTGGCGAGGGCCGCAGAAGAGATAGGCATTAGCCCCTTGTGGACAGACCTGCTTCTAGCTCCGAGCTCCGAAAACAAAAAAGCAAGAGGGAAATTAATGAGGGGGCGATGCGGAAAAGGGAGAACGAACAACATCCGCGGCCAAGCCAGGAGTGGTGGCCGCACCGGTCCTTGCTTGTGAGGGCATAGCTCATGTTGCCGACCGCGACGATCTGCTTGACTGCCTCGGCGGGAGTCCAGGGGAAGCGTGGGAGCCCCCTGCTGTGTACGTGCCGGCCTTTTTGCCTCCTTGCGCACCTCACGAATGTCGGCTCGCCCGTCTGAAGGTGTCTTTGTGTATGCCTCAATGTATGTCTCAATGTATGTCTCTGCCTCCTATGTATGTCATTCGGCGATCGTCCTATCGTGGATGGCTCCGCCTCGGCGATCGTCTCGATGTCTGTCTCTGCCTCCTATGCATGGAGCGCACGGCACCCCTGCGGAGCCCTGCCGACCGAGGCCTGCCCTGGCCCCGATGAAGCATCCCAGGCGCCCCCTCCTCCTCCTCCCCTCCTCCTCCCCCTCCTCCTCCTCCTCCTCCTACTTCCCTCCTCCTCCTCCTTCTCCTCCTCCTCCTCCTCCTACTTCCCTCCTCCTCCTCCTCCTCCTCCTCCTCCTCCTCCTCCTACTTCCCTCCTCCCCTAGATCCTGTTGTGACTCTGCTCCTGCACGTCCGCTGTACGCTTCGGTCTGCATCGGCCCCTCTGCCTGCCCCTCTGCTTGCGTGCCCAGCGATGCGCTCGTTCGATCGATCGTTTTGACCGGTTGTCGATTCGCTGGATCGGATCACTCGTTCCCCCTCCGCCCCCTCCCTCCTCCATGTTCCCCTTCCCTCCTCCATCTTTCCCTTCCCTCCTCCCCTTTTCTCCTCGCCCCTTCCGGTCCCCTCTCCTTTTTTCTCCCACGCCCCCCTCCTCCTCTTCCCGCCCCTCCTTCCCCCACCCCTCCCCTTCCATTTGATCTCTCTCCTCCCCCCTCCTTGTCTCGCTCTCCTTCTTCCTCCCTCCTCCCGCCTTCGCCTCCGCCTGCTGCTCCCGCATTCCTCTTTCCCTTTCCTGAACCCCCCTTTCCTCCTCAACCTCCTCCTTCTCCTCCTCCCTCCTCCTCCTCCTCCTCCTCTTTCCCCCTTCCCCCCTTCCCCCCCACTCTTTACCCTCACCCCGAGCTTGTCCCACGCTTTTTCCCCCGCTCATTCGACCTCCCTCTCCACGTCCCCCTGCTCTGCCCCCCCATTTTCCGCCAACCCTTTTCTATTACAATGCCGCGCGCCTGTGCCGCTCCTGCTCCTGCCCCTGCTCCCGCTCCTGCTTTTGCTGCTGCTCCTCCTCCGCCTCCGCCTCCTCCTCCTCCTTCCCCTCCTCCTCCTCTCTAACCTTGTTCCTCATACGTCTCAGCCAGCGTGGACACCAAACAATGTGCTTCTGGCAATCTATATTGTGCCACGTCTGAGGAACAACATCTGTGGTCTGGTGACATCAATGCTGTGGAACCGATGCTTGCGGTCGATAATGTTGTGCAATCTATGTGGTGGAATGTCTGCGGTGGAGCTGCTGTTTATAAACGAGTTGACAAATCTTATGCTCTTGCAGACATCCCACCCACCCATGCGCAACTTGGTTTGCAAAACCATGCGGCGGCGATTGCGATTAGTGCTTGGCGTTGGCTGTGCATGTCTGCGGCCGCGCTAGCCCGCGCATGCTTGCGCGCACAGTGGCGCGTTAGATTGGCGCGACCGCCGCGGACGCCCGCCGAGAACGATGACGATGTTCTCGCATCGGCGATGCAGGTTTCTGAAGGAGTTCGACATGCGCGCGCGGTCGACGCGCGCGAGTGGCCCGCGTGGTATTATTTGGCACGGATCCTGCCCCCCCCCAAGCACGCGCACAAGGGCGTTCGAATGAGTTCGGCATGCGGCGCGAGAGGCCCGTTTGGCAGATTCTAATAAAACAATGTTGAAAACCATGGCTGTCTTACGAATCCGCAAGGCCGCGAGCGCAGGCACGTTTGAGAACTGATCTTGCAGAACCATGTGTCTTGATGTGCTTTCGTGACGCTCGCTTTTGAACTCCCCGCTGAACCCATTGCTTTTTTTTGGGGGGGGGGATCCGCCAGCGGGGGCCCTCGGGGAGATCCCGCCATTCGGGGCCGGCGGCACCGGCCGCAAGGCCGTCGCAACACATGTCGTGGGGCCGTGTGGCGAGGGAACTTGGACATAAAGTTTAGTGTAGCATCGTTGATGCATCCTGGGTTTTGAAGGGGCCCTGGGACACACAAATGAATACACACACAAATAACAGGATTCCCATATTTTCCTGTATTTTCTCTGTTTTTGTCGTCCCCCCTGTCGTCCCCCCCAATTCCCATATTTTCATATATTTTCCTGGGAGTCGACGATCAATTGTGTCTGTGTGTTTCTTTCCTTCCTGAGATTTGTGGATTTGCACTGGTCCTCCATCCCTCTTCCTTATAAATAATTCCTCCCTGTCGCGCTTTGGGGCGGGTCGGTAGGGCGGGCCAGGCGTTTCGCCTGAGACTTCCCCACCATTTGTGTTCCTGGAGCTTGAGCTTCGTAACCGTTTCACGGATGGAGGGCGGGTCGTCTTCAAAATGTGGCTCTCGCCTCAGCGCCGCGCGCATTCGTATTAAAACGTCGCAAGAGTTTGATGGATGGAGGGCGCCTCCGTTTCAAGATTTGGCTCTCGCCTGAGCGCCGCGCACAATCGTTTGAATATCAGCAGTGTGCAATACTTCCTAGGAGACTTATGGCCGACGTCTCAGAAGCTGTGTTTGACACGATTCAGGATTATCAGGGCGCGACAATCACGCTGATTAGCGATGTGGAAGTCCCAGAAACGGCGTGTTGGCACGATTTGAGGCCGTCAGGTCGCAACGGTAACGTTGATTCGCGGCGTTGAAACCCCAGGACAGGTGCTTTGGCACGGCTCCTCCTCGTCCTGCTCCGGTTCCTCCTGCCTGACCTCGTCATTCGTCTGCTGCTGCCTATTGGGGCACTTGGACCGGGGCGGTGGCCTCGTTCCGTAGCTCCTCCACGAAATTGGGCTCGTAGCGCGTCTGGATGTCCGAGAGGCCGAGCTGGCCCTGGCCGTTGTCGCCCCAGGAGAAGACCTTGCGAGAGGTCCCCTGTTAAATAAAGTCGCCGCCATCCAAGTCGCCGCTATCCTCTTCTTCTTCCTCCTCCTCCGCCTTCTCCCGCCCTCTTCCCCTGTCCTCCTCATCCTCTCACCCCTCCGCGGGACCCGCACGCCGCCAACGAAAGGCAGGCATGCCAGACCAAGAAGCTGGTGGCCTGCCCACGGTGCTGGCTTTACGGAGGGGAAGACGGATGGTTATGCCGCGGACGCACTCAACCGCCCCTTGGTGTCCAGCACAGTGCGGAGAGCGGGTCTCGGCCCCAAGGCAGCGCCCAGTGAGCACGGTATAAAGGAAACGGTGGACTCCAGCGCGCGTGCCTCGCGCCGTCGTGTGGCGACTTGGCGCGATCAGAGTGACCGCGGCGTCGGAGGCGAGCTGCTTGTCCCAGTGCACCGCGGGGAGCCGAGGCCACCAGCGTCCTCCGCGCAGCTCTCCAGGGCCGGGCAGCGTGCGCAGAAGAGCGGGGGCGCCTCCGCAGCCAGGCAGCGCGTGCTTCGCGCTGCCAGGGTTGGGCCGAGGTGGAGGGCACGTCGGCCCGCGTCGAGGCAAGCGCGCAACCGCGCGAACCGCTGCCCCACGGGGGAGTCTACTGGGGGCGCGCCCACGCGAGCCACGCCACCTCGCGACGGTGTGCCCGCGTCCCTGCGGGAGCCTCCTAGCCTGCAACTCCAGGCCCAGCGGCTTCGGCCCACGCGCCTCCCGCTTCCGCCGCTCTGCAGCCTGCCGCCTGGCCAGTGTCCCCGCCGCCTGCCCCAAGGGCTGCGGGCAAGCCTGTGGGCACGGCCCCCGTCTCCAGCGAGAGCGCGCCCACGAGCTCGGCGAGGGTGGGCCGCACGCGAGCAAGGGGCGGCCCCGTCGAAGTGGACGTGCTGCTGCCTCCTCGCCCTACTGGAGCCCGCGGCAGCCGCGGCGCGAGCCGTAGCGGGGGCGCCTCCGAGGCCGAGGTGAAAGCCACCGCCCCGCAGGCGCAGCGAGTCGCAGACGTAGACAGCGGCGGAAAAGATGATCATGGTAGCGATGATCGTGATGAAAATAACGATGACGACGGCAAGGCCGATGACGGCACAAATGCCGGTGACGCCGGTGACGATGATCGTTTCTCGCGTCGGTGGTCAAGGTGCTAGAAGGAATTCGACATGCGCGCGCGACCGACGCGCGCGGGTGGCCCGTATGGTCGTGCCCCCCGGTATGCGCACAACAGCGTTCGAATGATTTCGACATGCGCGCGCAGGCCTCTTGGTCGCAGTGTATGGGCGTGTTGAGAAAACATACGGTTCCCAGAAGAATTCGCAAGAACGCGCGCCCAATGCTTATTCTTTTGTGAGCCACATGCAAAACCATTGTCTGGTAGGAATTACCAGGAACCTCGACATTGAAACCCGTATGAAACCGACAATTTTTGAAGGATTCCGGCATGCGCGCGCGACGCCGCGCGCGTGTGGACTTTGTCAACTTGGTTGCAAGGGTTAATATTTGACAGGGGTGCAAAGGGGCCGACAACGCCACTCCCGGGATGGTACGAGCTCGTCTCCAAAATGAAAGATGGGGAAGAATCGTGTGTAGATCTCGCAATCCCAATTGGTGCCGATACATTGTTGGAAAGTACAAGCGAATTGTGCTGTGTTTAGAAAAAGGAATCTAATTTGCGCAATCTAGGGCAGGGCGGCGGCGACGGCGGCGACGAGGCGGCCAGCGCGCCAGTCAGGCACCAGTGACGAAGCGGCGACGAGGAGGCGACGGGGCGGCGACGGCGGCGACATGGCGGCCAGAGCGCCAAACGGCCCCACACGACGGGCGGCGACGAGGCGGAAACGATGCGGAAACGGCGACATGGCGGCTACAGCACCAGACAGGCCCAGGCGAAGGATGGCGACGAGGCGGCAACGAGGCGGCGGCGGCGGCTACTCAGCAGCCAGACCGCCAGACAGGCCCAGTTCCTTAGAAAAGAATCTGAGAACCCCTAGGTGCAATCACTGGCTAGGGGAATCACAAGAACGCCCAATATAACGATACTATGAAGAAAACACAAGGGTGGGGATGAGAAGATGGGGAGGAGAGGGAGCAGGGAAGACGAGCAGGAGGAGGAGGGATGAAGATAGGAGGGTCGGGAAGAGCAGGGATAAGAAACACTTGGAGGAGGAAGAGGAGGCGACGGGGAACGGGACGAAGGAGGGAACCCAGACCCAGTCGGCGGTGCCTTGCCACGATCAGACAGGGCGAGCACGTGGCGGTGACCGAACTGGATCGAGATGATCTTGCAAGTATCACGGTGCTCCTGCCGGCGGCACCGCGCTTCTCGACCCGCACGCGCCGCCCCAGCTGCTCCCGATGCTGCTCCTCCTGCTGCTGCCCCCCCCCCGCGGCGAACGCGTTACGCCCGAGCGCGCTGATTGGGAGCCGGCTCCACCCCGCGGACCCCAGGAACGGCTCGCCGCTAGCGACTCAGGAGGAGGGGGAGGAGGAGCAGGAGGAGCAGGAGGAGGAGGGGGAGGAGGAGGAGGAGGAGGAGGAGGAGGAGGAGGAGGAGGAGAGGGAAGAGGAGGAGGAGGAGGAGGAGGAGGAGGAGGAGGAGGAGGAGGAGGAGGAGAAAGAGGAGGAGGAGGAGGATGGCGAGGAGGAGGAGGAGAATGAGGAGGAGGGCTCGCTGCTTAGCGATTCAGGTATACACGGGAGGCAGTAGACCGCCTCCAGCCCACTGCGGGCTCCGCCGCCTCGCCCCCTCCTCTCCTTCGGGGCCTCGATCGGGGGCGCGCTGGCAAAGTCCTTCCGACTGCGCCGCCTGGGAGCGCAAGGACCACGGGCCGAGGAGCCAAACATTATCTTGCCCCCATCGTGCTCAAGGACCAAATCCCCAAACCAATTTCGAGCACCCAAACGATATCGAAACAACGTCGAACGAATATCGCCTCCCAGGCCCCGACACGTGAAATCCTTCCAGCTTCGTTATGTTCTTGGTGCTCGAAATTCTTTCTGGTGGTCAAGGCTAAAGTAGGTCGGAACATCATAAGCCAAACAAAGCATACACCAACGGTCGGATCGCCGCGCAGATTAGTTGGATGGAGCGCGCCAAAGGCCGGAGGCGCCGCCAGGGGAACCAGCGCTGACCCAAGAAATCCGCGCGGACCTTCGAAGACTTGTGTGTGTGTGTGCGTGTGTGTGTGTGTGTCGCCGCGTTTTTGTTGCCATTCGAGTGGGGCCGCGCCCGCGCCTAGCAGCGCCAGCAGCGCCCCCCGCGCCCCGCCGCAGCTCCCGGCTGCGCGCGAGATTGGCAAGACTGACCTTTTGGTGCGCGGCTCCAGGGGGCGCGGGGTGGCCAACCTGGGGCGCGCAGGACGCTTCGCGATCAGCGACCAGGAGGACCCCCTCGGGCCCCCACCGAGGGGTTACTCCCGCGAAAAGTTCCCGGAAAGCTCCTTGGAGAGCTAAGAGGGTTACAGATTAAGAAGCCGGAGCCGCAGGGTAGGGTTTCAGATTAGGGTCGTTCGGCGCGCCTTGCTTGAGGTCGCAGCGTGTTCCGGCAGGCCTTTTCTAAACTTTTCTCAAAAGCTTTCCAGAAGGTCCTTCGGAAGCTCTCTCCAGGTCCCTCCAGAGTTCTTCGACAGGCTGTTTCACGCCCCTGTGGCGCTCTGCTACTTGGGTTTTTTTTTATCTGGCAAGCCAGACACGCGACGTCCTGATTTTTTCAGAGCGGGGTCCCTGGAAATCCCGACCCTTTCCCCGGGACCGGTTTTTCGTCCTGAATCGTTCTTCGACGCCTCCGAAGCCCGGCGAGGGCCCGCCGAAATTTGCCCAAAAAACCTCCCCGTCCGGATTTTTTATACGACGCGATCGTGTCTGGCTGGGTCCCCAGCCCGCCCGCCTGGCCGGCGCCCAGGACGCGTGGGCAGCAGCGGCGGCCCCTCCCCCGCAGCCCGACGCGGCGCCCTCCCTCCGCAACTACCCCACCCCCTACGCCACACCCACAGGGCTCCCGTGTGGGCGAACGTGGCATCGCGACACTAGGCAGCATCTTAGCCAGGTTCTGTCCTTCGCACTCTGCCGAACGCCGTCGTGGGGGGGGGGGAGGCGGAGGAAAAGGAGGAGGTGGAGGAGGAAAAGGAAGAGGAGGAGGAAGAGGAGGAGGAGGAGGGGAAGGAGGAGGAGGGGGGAGGGGAAGGAGGAGGAGGAGGAGGAGGGAGAGAAGAGGAGGAGGAGGAGGGGAGAAGTAGAGGAGGAGAAGGGGGAGGAGAAAGGAAGAAGGGGGAAGGAGGAGGATGAGGATGAGGAGAGAGGGGAGGAGGAGGAGGAAGAGAGGAACAGGGAGGAGAAGGAAAAGGGCGGTGGAGGAGGCGGAGGAGGAGGAGGAGGAGGAGGGAGGAGGAGGAGCAGGAGGAGGGAGGAGGAGGGTGGGGATGAGGAGGAGGATGTGGAGGGAGGAGGGAGGAGGAGGAGGAGGAAGAGGAGGAGAGGAAGAAGGAGGAGGAGGGGGAGGGGGAGGAGTAGGGGAGGAGGAGGAGGAGAGGAGGAAGGGGGAGGGAGGAGGAGGAAAAGAGGGGAGAGGAGGAGAGGAGGGGAGGAGGAGGAGGAAAAGGGGGAGGAGGACGAAGGGGGGGAGGGGGAGGGGGAGGGGGGACAGCGGCGCCAGGTCGAGCCCCTCAACCCGCCCTTGCCCTCACTCCCGCACGGGCGGGTTGCGGCGGCCACCCGTGCCCACGGGCACGGAGGGAGGGCAGGCCTGCCCTGCACTTTCCCTGGAGGAGACGCCCGGAACTGCAGCGCAGCGCCGGGCAGCGCGCGCCCACATGCGCTCGTGGCACCGAGTTGGGCCGCAGCGCGGGGGCTACGGCGGGACTATGGCGTGCCGCTCCGCCTCCCGGCGCGGGGAGCGGGGAAGTCGGGGGCGGGGACGTGGTCGGCGTGTCGCGCTGAAGCGTGGTGGGCCAGCACCGGCGGCGCGACGCGCTGCGCAAACGGTCCCGGCCGAGTGTGCCTGGGGTTGCCGCCTCGGGCTGCCCCGAGGCCGCAGCTCGGCTCGGCCCACCTGCCCCTGCGGCCGAGGGGTGCGAGAGAGGCGGGGCCGGTGGGAGCCCTGGCGCCCGCAGTCTGGCAAACCGCTGCAGCACGTAAGCCACCATGCCGACGAGTCTTGCGTGGTGCACCACCTCTGGCCCGAGTCCCGGGACTGGGGCCGCAGCATCGCTCACTCCTGTCCCCAAGAAAACGTCACCCGTGCCGAGAGCTTCGCAGCCTAGCGCGCCTCTCCTGCTCCTCCTGTTCCTCCTCCTGCTCCTCCTCCTCCTCCTCCTCCTCCTGCTCCTCCTCCTTCTCCTCCTGCTCCTCCTCCTTCTCCTCCTCTCCCTCCTCGAGCTCTTGTGATCGATTATTCTCCTCCTCCTCCTCCTCCTTCGCTTCTCCTCCTCCTCCTCCTCCTCCTCCTCCTCCTTCCCCCTGCTCCTCCTCCTCCTCCTCCCCCCTCCTCCTCCCCCTCCCTCATTCCTCCTCCCTCCTCCTCCTCCTCCTCCTCCTCCTCTTCCTCCTCCTCCTCATCTCCTCCCTCCTCCCTCCTCCTCCCTCCTCCTCCTTATCCTCTTCTTCTCCCTTTCTCCTGCTCCTCCTCCTCCTCCTGCCTCCTCCTCCTCTCCTCCTCCTCCTCCTCCCGCTGTTTCCTCCTCCTGTCCCCTCTGCTGTAATCCTCCAGCTCTCCCTCGTCCCTGATCCTCACCTAAGCCCCGCCGGCCCCTGCCTGTTTCCTCCACCCCCTCCTATTCCTTCTCTCCTTCTCCCCTCCCATCCTCCCCTCCTCGCTCTCGTCCTGTCCCTTCCCTCCTCGCTCTAATCCTCCCCCTCGTGCTCCAATGCTTCTGCTGATGCTCATCCTTCCTCGGCTCCCCACTCTTCCTGTACCCTATGGGGGGGGGCCTGCAGGGCCTTCTCCGCCTTGTCGTTGGTTGCTCCTCCTCCTCCTCCTCCTCCTCCTCCTCTTCCCCAGGGTCGTGAGGACGCCGAGGCTAGTCCGACTCCTCCTCTTCCTCCTGCTCCTCCTCCTTCTCCGCTTCTACCATCACCTGTCCCTTCTTCCGCTGCCCCCCTTCCCACTAATTCACTCCTCCTCCTGACGCTTTCCATTCTCATCTTCGCCCGCCTTCTCCGGCTGCTCTTCCGCATCTGTACCTTTACCCTATGTATCCGAATCCATCCTCCTAAGCCTCCTCCTTCTCCAATCCTCTCTTCTCATCTCCTCCCTTCCTCTCTTCCTCCTCCTCCTCCTCCTCCTCCTGCGTGTGCTCCTCCTCCTCCTCCTCCTCCTCCTTTCCCACCGCCCTCGCCTCCTCAATCCCCTTCGTCCTCCTCCTCGTCCACCACTGTTTGGCCCCCCCCCCCGGCCCCCCCCCTCAACCCCCTCCCCCTTCGTCGCATGATCCTCTGCCCCCCACCAGGCATGACGCCACCCGCGCTTCCGTCGACGGGAAGCTGATGGCCATGGGGTTGAGGCACGTCCCCTGGTCGGCCCCCAGGCCGAGGCACCCGTGCTTGTCCTCGCGGCCGGCGCGGCGGCAACCCCGCACGGCGGTGACATGCCGATGCCAACCCGTGGCGCGCTTTCGCTGCCATGAGCTCGCCGACCTCGGCGGGGCGCGACCAAAGCAGCGTGGTTCGTCTTCGGGCTGCTCTCGTTGTGCCTCGCTGTGTCTCCCGCCACGGCATCGCCCAGGCACCGTCTGCAGGCCGACCCCCTGGACGTCCTCACGGATCCGCTCCGCGAGCTCACCTGGAGAATCCTGGAGAGCCTGGCACTGCACGGTGTTCGCACCACATTCTCTCGCGCAGCCACGGGCCCTGACACCGCCACGGATCGATCGGGATCCAAGCGCGACGCAGAGAGATTGGGCCTGTTGCTCCGGCCGTGATCCCGGGGACGACTTTGCTGAGGTTGTCGGCGTGGACGGGGATACGTGCGAGCCCGTCGATGAACAACATGTCACCGCGAAAGGTTGGGCGTGCCCTTCTGAAACTCTTGCTTGCGTTTCATGCCAGGGCCCTCGGCTGCAACACTGCTTGGGCCGTCGGGCAATGCCCTGTGACATTCGTTGGCGTGTTGGCGCCCTCTGGTGACACGAACCGGCATGTCGAACTGGAAACCGCACTACGTCGCAGTGGAAAACGATACGAGCAGTGCCATACGAAAACGGCAGCAGATCTACACGTCTGAACGCACGAGACACTGAATGCCTTCGAGAAGTGCTCCCGCTCGATTGCAAGGTGGAAGACAAGCTCAGCTGTGGCAGACGGACAGTGCCGCGATATCAAGCGCACGCTCGCGGAGGCACCTCTTCAAACTGTTGCTCGAAGCCTGCACTGTACGCGCTCTGGCTACGCTGCGCTTGACACTGAGAGTTACCGCGGAAACAACTGGAGCACTTGTTCGGGACGGAATCTGTGATGCAACGATGCTAGCTGGTCGTTTCCAACATTGGTTCTGCCCGCGTTGGCCGATGCGAACAATCCGCCGACCCCTTGAGGTTCATCGGCGCGTGCGATGCTTCCGCCTCCCGAAACCCTTCCCCTGGCAGCCCGGGGAAGTCGATTTGGAAGGGGGGGAAGGTCTACCCGGGCCGGCGGGGGCCCGCCAGGGCTGGCCGGGGCCGGCCAGGCCGGCCAGGGGGGGTCACTTTGCTCCAGAAATTTTGCTGGCGGGGGCATCGAGGGCTTCACAACGGGCCACGAGGGCCCCACGAGACCTCCAAGACGGTGTAAGAGGGCCCCGAGTCGCCGAAACATCGTCCCAAGACGCCCAAGACGGCCTCCAGACGGCCCAAGATGCCTCCAAGACGCCCCAAGAGGCTTCGAAGAGACCTCCCAAGAGGCCCCAAGAGGCCCAAATCGTTGATTATCATAGGTTGTTTCAAGGTTTTTGGCTTTCTCGACTTTTCGGGCTTCCGACGCTCGAAGACGGCGCAAGAGACCCCCAAGACCGCGCCAAGACCGCCCAAGAGGCGCCCAAGAAGGCCCCAAGACGGGCCAAGAGGGCCCGAAGACAGCCCAAGAGGGCCCCAAGACAGCCAGAGAGGGCCCCAAGAGGGCCCCAAGAGCAGCCTAATAAGGGGACCACGAACCACAATTCTAGCTTTCCGCACCAAGTGGCCCCCGGGAGGCCCCAAGAGGCCCTTAAGGGGCCCCAAGTCGCCCCCAAGAGGCTCCCAAGAGGCCCAAAAGAGGCCCCCAAACAGCCCCCCAGAGGCCTCCTACCTGCCTCGGGCAGGCCGCCGAGAGGCTTCTCACGAGATCGCAACGAACATCCAAGAGGCCTCTGAATCACAACCTAGGCACAGTGGCGGGACGGGCCGAAGACCACTAGATCCGCCGCCCCCTGTGGTCTTGCCACAGGGGTGCACGACGTGCTGGATGTTTCAGGTTTTGGTTTTGGTTCTTTTTCTAAAAGAACTCCCCAGTGGGCTTCGGCCCGTCCCGCCGGCCACCCGCAAGTTTCCGAAAATCCATCTGTCAATGCCTTTGTTGCCCCAACTTGGCCCAAGATGGCCTCCAAGACGGCCAAGATGGCCCAAGATGGCCTCCAAGATGCTTCCAAGACGGCCAAGATGGCCTCCAAGACGGGTAAGATGGCTCCAAGATGCACCCAAGACGGCCCAAGATGGCCTCAAGATGGTCTAAGACGGCCCAAAAGGCCCGCAAAAGGCCTCCAAGACGGCCCAAGAGCCCTCCAAGACGCCCTCCAGGAAGGCCCGAATAGGTTAAAATCATGGATTTTCCTTAGGTTTTTGAAGGATTTTGGCATGCAAGAGTCCCCAACATCGCCCCAACAGCACCAAGAGGCCTCCAAGATGGCCCCATGACGGCCCAAGAGGCCCCCAAGAAGGCCCCAAGAGGGCCTCAAGACGGCCCAAGAGGCCTCCAAGACGCCCAAGATGGCCTCCAAGACGGCCAAGATGGCCCAAGATGGCCTCCAAGATGCCTCCAAGACGGCCAAGATGGCCTCCAAGACGGGTAAGATGGCTCCAAGATGCACCCAAGACGGTCCAAGATGGCCTCAAGATGGTCTAAGACGGCCCAAAAGGCCGGCAAAAGGCCTCCAAGACGGCCCAAGAGCCCTCCAAGACGCCCTCCAGGAAGGCCCGAATAGGTTAAAATCATTGATTTTCCTTAGGTTTTTGAAGGATTTTGGCATGTTCTTCTTTTCAGCTCTCCGACGGCCCCAGACGGCCCATGAGGTCCCCAACATCGCCCCAACAGCACCCAAGAGGCCTCCAAGATGGCCCCATGACGGCCCAAGAGGCCCCCAAGAAGGCCCCAAGAGGGCCTCAAGACGGCCCAAGAGGCCTCCAAGACGCCCAAGATGGCCTCCAAGACGGCCAAGATGGCCCAAGATGGCCTCCAAGATGCCTCCAAGACGGCCAAAATGGCCTCCAAGACGGGTAAGATGGCTCCAAGATGCACCCAAGACGGCCCAAGATGGCCTCAAGATGGTCTAAGACGGCCCAAAAGGCCCGCAAAAGGCCTCCAAGACGGCCTAGATGACCTTCAAGATGCCCACGTGTTCCCCGAAAGCTTTCCAAACCGACTCGGGGAACACATGGTCCGATGGCTTGGCAGGCCTCTGGCCACAACCTTCGGCCACATAGGCGCTTCCAAAAAGGCAGGGGGCGGCGGTGATTCGCCGTAGGCGTCGTCGATATAGATACAAGCATAAGTCACGCAGCACCCAGAAGCAGCAACAGCGACTCTTCCCCAAGGGGTCGGCGGTGCGGCGTATGCCAAACATCTATCAACAAAGCTGTGTTTTGGGAGAGGAGAATAGGCACAAGCATACGCCATGCGACGAGAACGTGTCCTCACCCCAGGACACCAATGTTCCATCCTCCTTGAGCGCAATGATGAAACCGCTGCCAAGGACGATGTCACCTTGCCACAGGCTGAGCGCAGTGCCCAGGATATGCGGTGCTCTCGTGCTGCAGGGGGGATCTCTGCCAGAGCTGGGCTCAGAGGATGAGAGCTAGTCTTGGTCGCAACTGTCGCCGTCGTTGTCGTCCTCCTCATCCCCCATCTCCTCCTCCACCACCTTCGACCTGCGTGTCCTCCTCCCCCTCCTGTTCCACATCCTGCTCCTTAATCTTCTCCTCATCCACCTCCTCACCGTCCGCATCCCCCTGGTCCTCCGTCTCCTCCCTCGCCTCCTCAGCCCGTCACTGTGCCCCCGTGGCACGTGGGGGCGAGGCAGATTGCCAAGTGCTGCCTGCAAGGGCTGCTGTGCGTCTTCTAGCGCGCCATCCCCCCATCCCTTCTCGCCACGTCCACCTGCATGCAACGCCCCTCCTTCCCGAGGCTCCCCGGGCAGCCGGACGCCTCTCTGGGGCTCTCCTGAGGTCTCCAGGGCTCCCAGGACAGCCTGGACATGCCACCAAGACAGCCAGGTTGATCAACACTGCCTCAAGCAGCTTCCAGCAGATCCCCCAAACGCTCAATAAGTCCCAACATGCCTCCAAGCGGCCCTATGCCACCCCGAATCCAATCTCCAGGATGGCCTCGAGATGCCAGACACATTGATTTGTAACTCGCAATTCAATGTGTTTTACTTCCCACGCTCTTCGGTCAAGGATCGGTCTACTTGCGGACTTCGAGGGTCAAAAGGAAGCGCCCCAAATAAGTGTCGAATACGTCTCAAGAGTCTCTCCACGAGGCCCCAGTACACCTCCAACGCACTCTCCAGGAGGGTCTTGAGGAGCCCGACGCAATGCAAGGCCTCCTCCTCCAGCCGTCCATGGGGCTGCTTGCCATTCCGCGTGGCGCCAGCCAGAAAAGATACCGCGCCGAAAGCAGCGAGATGGGGTCTAAGCGGGTCCACTGGAGGAAATGGGATGGAGGTGAGGAGGAGAAGGAGGAGGAGAAGGGGAGGAGGATGAGGAGGAGGAGGAGGAGGAAGAGGAGGAGGAGGAGGAGGAGGAGGGGGAGGAGGAGGAGGAGGAGGAGGAGGAGGAGGAGGAGGACGAGGGAGGAGGGGGGAAGTAAACTAGAAGGGAGGACGGGAAGGAGGAGGAACGGGATGGTTTCGAAGGGGGAAAGGGAAGGATAGAACGAGAGACACAGAAGGGGGAACGCGATGCCGTTTCTCTTGGCCTTGGCTCATGCTTGCTATGATCCCTCATCCTCGTCACGTCTCCCCCCCCTGATCCAGCTCCCGTTGCTCTGCCCCCCTACCCGCCCCAGGCATCCCCCTTCCTCCCACCCTCCCCGTTCTCCCATCCCCCCCTCTTCCCCTCCACTTCCCCCTCTTTCCCTCCACGTCCTCCCCCCGGAACAAGCAAGAACATCAACATAGATCTTCGGAGTTCCGCGCGGCTTTCTTGGATCTGCGTTGCAGACCCACTTCCTGGGGCACGGGGCGCGTCAGGGAGGGTGCCCGAAGCACCCGGAACACCGCCAGGGGGTCCAAGAAATCAGCGTGGAACTCTGACAACTTATGTGTATATACTATCTTGTTGTGTTTTGACCCCCTCGTCCCCTGCACGCCCCCCCGGTTCGCAGGCAGACCGCGATACTGGAGTTCGCGGTTGCTGCGCAGTGGACAAAAGGTGTCCTACGCCTTCATTGTCACGGTTCTCGAGATCCCGCAATAATGCTAGTCCCCTCCAGCCTGCGGGCCGCAACCCCTGACCCAAACCCAAAGGGAAACCAAACTGCGACGGCCGTTTCCACCGGACTTCGCGCTGCCAGGATGGGGGGCGCGTGCAAGGTCACGGCGCAAAGCAAGCAGGAGAAGGAGGAGGAGAAGGAAGAGGAGGAGGAGGAGGAGGAGGAACGAAGAGCGGCCCCCAGCAGCAACGAGGGGAAGCAAAGGACAGGCTCAGCAATCCCACTCTTGGGAATGCAGCGGCATACCCTGGGCTCCCTTCGGAATATCCTGCATGCCTGCGCTCGGCTGACGCAGGGGAGAGGGAACGCGGGCAACAACAGTGGTGGGCCCGGGACTGCGAGGGCAGACCGGAGCCCGCCCACCACGCCCACTGGCAAGGGGGTCTCGCTCGCCCCTAAGGCGGGGGGGGAAGGGGGCACAAGGCGGCGCCATCGGCGACTCACACGGCGTCGGCCGCGGCCGCCGCCGTGGCCGCTGCAATGCGAACGGCAGCCACCCCCCTCGACGGCTGCAGCCGCCGCAGCACCGCCCGCACGTTCTCCCAATCCGCTGGGCGCGCTAGGGAGACTGAAAGTCGCTGGGTGTACCGGTCCGCCACCAGGGCGGCGCCCTCCCCGCTGGCGTCAGCCACGCGCTTGGCCAAGATCGCACAAGCTCTCCTGGCCCCGCGCCCCTACCCGCCACCGTGGGCCTCCACCGCCATAGGTATGAAGGCAAGGCCCTGCGCAGCGCACTGGCGGTCAGTGTCCAGGTGCTGCCGCTTGATCTCCCCGTAACGCTCCGCAGCCGCGCTGGAGGACGCGGCTGGAGCGGCGATGAGGTCGTGAGGAACCCCGCTCCCGCAGAGTTCGCCGCTTGCGCGTCGAAGAACCTCTGGTTCCAGAGCGCGCGGTGGCGTTTCGTCCTGTCGCCGCGGCAAGAGCAGGCAATGGCGTGGTCTAGTTAGCCACACGTCCATCACCTCTCTCACCGACGTCCCCCCAGTTCCCCTCTTCCCCTCCGCTCCCTCCCGCTTCCCTTCAACAGTTACAGAGTATGAATACTATTTCTCTCTGCCCTGACTCTGGCCGGGAGATGGCCAATTTTCTCCGCAATGTCTTTTACCGTGCACGATTGGGGCACATGCTTTTCCTTGTTGGCATACGTTCGTTCTGTTTAGCAGCTCACTGCAGCCTGGGCCTCATTTCCGGATCGGCGGCGCTGTGGTCCCGTCGTTCAGAATGGCGCTCTCGCCCCAACGTGGGCAAGATTTCTGGATCCGGATCCTTTTTCATCGCTGTCGCCCCCCCTTCATTTCCCTGCCTCCGCCTCCCCTGATCCTGCTGCTCCTCCTGCTCCTTCCGCTCCAGATCCTGCTGTTGCTGTTCGTCCTCGTCCTCGTGCTTCCACACCCTCCTTTTCCTCCTGCTCATCCTCCCGCTCACTCGGAAACTCCTCCTCTTCCTAGGTACGCACCTCCCCGTTTCCGACTGCGCATGATACGACGGGTTGTTGCAGTTCCTGGTCGGCTCGGACACGCGCCCGCGGATAGAGGAAACATCCGCGCAGGGGAAGGTATGCTAACGTCAGGGAGAGGGATCGAACGCCAGATGTGGCGCGAGCGCACCTCGATTACGTTTCCCCTCGCCCCCCTCTGTCCCTCTTTCATCGCGCCCCCCCTCCTCCTCCTCCTCCTCCTCCTCCTCCTCCTCCTCCTCCTCCTCCTCCTCCTCCTCCTCCTCCTCCTCCTGCTCCTCCCCCTGGCTCATGCCAACGTACCCCCCCACGGCGCCCCTCTCCGCCCTCGTCCTGCCTGCCCGCCCTCCTCCCCTTGGTTGCCCCGACCTGGGTGGGCAAAGCATCGTGGCGGCGTCACCCTGCTCCTGTTCATGCTCCCTCGCTTGGTGCTCTCCAGTATGGCCAGCTAGGGCCGGGCACGGATGCGCCCGTGGATCTTCTCCGTCAGGAACGGCTGCTTGATCGCACGCTTGCCCCAGTTGCCCCACAGCCAGAAGTTCTTGCTCGGACCCGTCCTCTCTCTCGTTGCGGGGCAAAGGGGGGTAGGGGGGGGAGGAGGCCAGGGAGGAGGATGGGGAGGAGGACGGGGAGGGGATGGGGAGGAGGAGGAGAAGGTGGATGAAGAGGAGGAGGAGGAGGAGGAGGAGGAGGAGGAGGAGGCGGAGGCGGAGGCGGAGGCGGAGGAGGAGGAGGACGGGGAGGGGGAGGAGTTCAAGCTAGGTGCGCTCGCGTCATATCTGACATCCTACCCCTCCCTCCCATCCCGCACCATGGCGCAGATCCCCTCTCTACTCGCACAGTCGGATGTCGAGCAGGGCAATGATCCCGAAAGGATACGCCATGCATTGTAGAGCATGGCGTGGCATGGCGTAGAAGAGCACCGCAAAGCGTAGTATCAACCTAGCATTGCATTGCGCGCCGTGGCATGGCACGGGAAATGACGCCAGCGCTGCAGCGGGAACACGAGTCGAAACAAGCGGAAGCGCGGAAATGAGGCCAACGCTGGAGCGGGAGCACGATTCGGAACGAGCGGAAGCGCGGAAATGAGGCCAGCGCTGCAGCGAGAGCACGATTCGGAACGAGCGGGGCCCGAAAATGAGGCCGGCGCCTCAGCGAGAGCAGCATTTTGAAAACACATGCAAGCGAAAACCCAACTCCGGGGAAACCTGTGTAAAAAACAAGACGCGGGGGGGGGGCGAACACTCCCAGCACGTCATCAGGGGAAGAGGGAGAGTAGTATTCATATTGAGTAATTGTGGAGGAGGAGGGGGAGGGGCGCGAAGTGGAGGGAGGACGAGAAGGGAGGGGCGGGGAAGGGGAGGAGGTGGATCTGGACATTAGGCGGGCCCTGCGAGAGGATGGGGATCTGGCAGTGAGGGCGACCATGGAGGTGGACCCTGGCGACGAGGGCGAGGTCAGAGCGTGCCAAGGCGAAGTCGGGAGGTCCGCGAGAGAGAGAGAGCGAGAAAGAGCGGCGAGGAATGGGCCTTTCAGGGGGACCTGCCGGCTCGAGCCCGTGGGCGGGCATCGCAGGAGGATGGGACCGGAGCAGGACAGCGACGGAGGGCCCCCCCAGAGCAGGAAGGCGACGCTGAGGATGAGGATGATCAGGAGACCGCCTCCTCCTCCTTCTCCTCCTCCTCCTCCTCCTCCTCCTCCTCATCGCCCCTCCTCCTCCTCCTCCTCCTCCTCCTCCTCCTCCTCATCGCCCCTCCTCCTCCTCCTCCTCCTCCTCCTCCTCCTCCTCCTCCTCGCCCCTCCTCCTCCTCCTCCTCCTCCTCCTCCTCCCTCCTCCTCCTCCTCGCCCCTCCTCCTCCTCCTCCTCCTCCTCCTCCTCCTCCTCCTCCTCGCCCCTCCTCCCCCCCGTCCCCCCGCGGCGAACGCGCCTTGGCTGCCCTGACGGCGCGGCCATGGCGCCCCTCCGCCCCCGGGGAGGCGGCGGCCGGGGCGCCCTCCGCCCGCGGCCCCCCGCGGGGGGCGGCGGCGCGGGCCCCCCCCGGCCCGCGGGGGGCGGCCCGCTCCTTGGCGTGCCGCCCCTCCTCCCGGCCCGCTCGGGCGGCGCAGCCCTTGCGAGGAGCGGCGGGAGGGCGAGGCGCCCGTTTTTTGTTCTGTTTTGACGTGTGCTCAGATGCCACCGGAAGTAGGGCTTCCACGCAAGAGGGCAATGGGGATGCGTGCAGCCCTGCTGGTTCTCCCGTCAATCCCTGCGCCTCCGTGGCTCTACGGCCGGAACTCGGAGGAGGAGGAGAAGGAGGAGAGGGGAGAATGAGGCAGGAGGAGGGATGAGGAGGAGGAGGAGGAGGAGAAGGAGGATATGATGATGATGATGATGATGATGAGGAGGAGGAGGGGAAGAGGAGGGAGGAGGAGGAGGATGAGGGGAGGGGGCGGGGAGGAGGAGCGGGAGTCGGGAGGAAAGCAGTTGAGGAATAGGTGAGAGGAGGAGGAGATGAAGAACATGATGTGCATGAGGTTGACAGCAGAAATCAACTCGGAACGGCATCGTCAAATTACATCCGGACGCACCCCAATGAGACGATCACAAGTACAGTGCGAGAGCAGGCGCCGATGGTGGGCAAGAGCAATGGATGACGAAGGTGGTTCGATGTGTACTCTACCCTCTACCCATGAGCCCGAGACCCGTAGCGTTACGGGGCAGGAGAATTCAGCTGGCTCTCGGCTGCCTCCTTGGTGGCTTCGTGGATGCGTGGCCATCGGTGGCTTCACGCCTGCTCGGACAGCAGAGTGTTTCGCCTGGTACGCCCTCCTTGCCGCTCGGGTGTCGGGGTGGCGGTACCTCTTCGCGGCTGCAGTCGACGCGGCCACTCGGGAACAGCACGCAATCCTCTCTACTCTATACGCACTCCTTGCTTTCTGCTCTCAGCCCTCTGTTTTCCAGTCCCCAACTTCTCTTTTCTCGCCCCACACTTGGTATACGCGGACCACCTCCTGCTCTCCAACCCGCCCTCTGCTCTTTACCCACCTGCTCTCTTGACGCGGGTCGCCGCGACAGGTCACAACCAATGGCCCATGGCCAGGCTCCGGGCGGCGCACAGACGGGCTGCGCACAGACCGTCCCCCCCAATGTGGTCCCGCCCGGCCTCAGCAGGCCGCCCCAGCAGTGTGCCAGCTGGCCTCGACAGGCCCCCGAGCAGTGCCAGGTGGTCCCAGCACCCACAAAAAGCCTGGGGCGCGGAGCGCCCCAGGGGCGCCGCGGGAGGCGGCGCCCAAAAATGGGACCGCCCTGGACTACTCGGGGGCTCGTTGAGGCCAGCTGGGACTACTCGGAGGGCCCGTTGAGGCCGGCCAGGACGACGTTGGGGGGGCTGTCAGTGCGCAGCCCGCTGCCTGACCAAGCCAGACGTCCGGCGTCTCGCGATGTGTTCGGGACGCGGGCCCCCGGGACCAATCTTTCATCCCGAATCGTTCCTTGGCCCCTCCGCGCCCCCGAAAGCCGCGCAGTGCCCTCCTCCTCCTCCTCCTCCTCCTCCTCCTCCTCATCCTCCTCCCCCTCATCAATATCCTCCTCCTCCTCCTCCTCATCCTCATTCTCCTCCTCCTCCTCCTCCTTCTCCTCGACCTCTCGACCGCTTTCCCGGGGCCGGTCTTCCATCCCAAGCCGTGTCTAGCAGGTCCCAAGGCCGAGCGGGGTCCCCCCGAGGGGCCCGAAAGCTATGAAGGACCTCCGTCCCGACCTTCTCCGAGGCGCTGGATGTCTGGGATGGGTCCGCCCATGCCGGCGGCGCGCAGAGGGGGGTCAGGGCAGGTTCGTGTCGTTACGACTCCGGCGCTGGTTCCCGACACCGCGTGGACCGTTCAACCTCGAACGATCGGCGGCCTTTCGATCGCCCGATCGTTCCATGCAGGCTGGTTCTGGACCACTGGCGGCGTTCAACCCGGAACGCCCGCGGCGGGATCGCCGCCGGCCGACACGACGCGAGCCTACCGTGGGGGGGGGGCACAGTCAACCCGCATAATAAGGATGGGCAGCCTTCCCAAGGCTACCCTTGCATCCTTGACCCCTCGGCCCATCCTTCGCCACGTTCGTTGGCCGCGCCCCGCTCGAAGAGCTTCCACTTGGGCGTCCGGAGCCCTTGCATCCTTATCGCGCATCCTTACTGCACGGGTTGACTGTAGGGGGGAAGGCTTCTCAGAAAGAGGCTGCTCCTCAGAAGGCGGCGGCCCCTCACCTGCAGACGAGGCCCGCGCCTTCTGAGGCCCCCCCCCCCTGCCCCCCTTGTCCTTCTGTGCGTGGCCGACCATGCCTGGGCTTAGGTCGGGCATGTCCTCCTCCAGGCGGGCTCCGGAAGAACAATGAAACATAATCAAAGCACACTTAAACTGAATCAACGATTCATAGACCAATCGTCCCTTGTACGCCCTTTTTGATTATGTTTGAATGCTCTTACTGTTGAGGGACACGCCCGACTTTTGCCTGGCCCTCCGGTCCCCCCGCCCCTGAGGGGGAATAAAGCCAATTACAACCACTTCGGCCCGTTCACGAGCTACTTCGGGCGGATTACAACCGCCGCACAGGGACCGATCGCAACGTGATTGATTCCGAGACTAATTCTATCAGACGGACATTGGATTACAACCTCTGGACGAGGACGAGGGGGGGAGGAGTGTTTCTCACACCCCATACATGCTAGCAGCGCCAGCATGTTGCCATCCATTCGATCCGTTCCATCGCCATTGTCTGCTTGACTGTCAGAGCACCGCGCGCATTCTGACCGAGACAGAAATACACTTGGCGCTCCCAACGCCCGACGTCAACTGATCGCCGTCTGCGTGTCAGACATGTGGATGCGTCAGACATTGGTTCTCCCCTTTGAAGCTCCAGCTGTGGCTGTGACATCAGAGACCCAGAGGACGAAGAACACGAACGAACGCGGGAGAAGTCTCTCTTCAACTAGGGAGGAAGCGGACGAGGACGGGGAGGATGACGAGGGCGAGGAGGACAATGTAGAGGAAGAGGAGGAGGACGCGGAGGAGGAGGGGGAGGAGGAGGAGGGACATGGGGGGAACGCGGGGGGGGGGGAGGAGGGGGAGGAGGAAGAGGAGGGGGAGGAGGAGGAGGAGGAGGGGGAGGAGGAAGAGTAGGACTTCCTTTGCTACCATGAATGCTCCTTCATACGGTTACCAGTAGTATAACAACTACTAGACTACGGCTACGACTACGACTACGACTACGACTACGACTACGACTACGACTACGACGACGACGACGACGACGACGACGACGACGACGACGACGACGACGACGACGACGACGACGACGACGACGACGACTACTACTACTAATACGACGACGACTACTACCCCTACGATTAAAAAGACTAGTACTAGAATTAAGACTACTACGACGTCGGCGGCTACTACTGCAACTAGTATTACTACTGCTAAGACTACTACTACTACTGCTACTGCTACTGCTACTGCTACTGCTACTGCTACTACCACCACCACTGCAGTTACTAATACTACTACCCACGCTAATAATAACACTCGTACT